CATGCACCCCAGAAGAAAACTCTTCATTTACTAAAAGTGGCATGCAAATAAGAATTGGTATTTGTCACGTCACACTCATTGATCGATTCCACTCAATCAAACCACATATATTGGCTGTTGAAACTGAAGAAGTTTTAAAACTGTTCAGTGGACCAGGTTTGCCTTGCCGTTCTCACTTAATTAGGAGTTCGATGTTGAAATACGGACCAAAGGAAATTAAGTTGAGACCGAGTGAACTAATGATAAGATCATGTATAAGGGAATGTCCAGGTTTTAAGTAAGTGCGCTTCAAATGTAAATAAAACTTGAAATATGTGACTGATTTCATTGGTTGGTTATGTATTTTACAAAAGTTTATTTAAAGTCTCGAGTACGATCCTCAATGTTTCTGTAGTTAGACCAAAGTATTAAGTAAAATTAAATCCTACATTTACACAGTGCTATATTAAAAAGCTGCAACAATTTTTAAAATACAACTTGAGAGGTATATATAGAATAGGTTTGATACACTAATGTTAAGCAGTTCAAAAACAAAACAGAAGTATTTATAATGTCGGTATAACTAAGAATGTGTTGATTATTATAACTACAGTGATTCACGATTACATAAAGACTAAGTTGAAAATGAAATCTTCAACGAAACTAGTAAAACATATAGTATTCAAATTCGAACCTAAATATGAGCAATAAGGCTAACAGTGCGACTGTTGATATAATAGGATTGGGATCGAAATTAAGTAGGATTTGAAATGTCCATTACGGTAGAAGTAAAATATTGTAGAATAAAGAAAGAAGAGTGACAAAATGGCGAAGAAAGGATATTTATTTATTTAGTTATTTATTTATGAAAGTGGTAGAACGTTTCAAATATATGTTAGCTGTCAGGCTACAATAAGTGATACTTTCCCATATCCAAACCCTATTCATTATTTTTTCATGTCAGGTTACACATAAAGTTCAACAGACTTTGATAAAAAGACATTATTCTTGTGAATTTAGTTTACGGAGTGAAGTATGTTCTCATCCATTCTGTTCGCTACACACTAACTAGCTTTATGGTATGCTTCATTTATTAGGTACTACTACGAAATGCTTGTTTTGAGTTTTCAAGTAGATATTCAACTAAAACGTAGTAGGGGGTGAAAGATTGTGTAACGATTTAGAACGATTCAACGGTCAATTCATATTATTTACAATATTTACTTTACACAGTGAAAATTATGTTAATCTATGCATATATTTTTGCTCATTTTAGCAATATTACTACATTGTCCAAATCACCTTTGAATAAACTGTCACGTCTTCCTAAACGAATCGCGATACAAGTAAATGAAGGTGAACCCCTCATAATCACATGTCCAATAAGGAATTCAGTAGAAAAACCAATAACGTGGTTCTATGCACCAGATAATTTTGATGAGCTAATGAAGTTAATTAAAATTGCATATAATTTCACTACTATTATTCAATACAAAACGCCATTACGATATCTAATTACTAAATTAAAACAAGTCAATTTTACAACATTAATACGTGAAACACGTGGACGATATAGAATTGATTCAGCTTATAATATTATCGTAGCTGAGACCGTATCATTGAACAAGACACAGTATAAAGAATTACATAGTTTAATATGCATACATGGTGATGCGTACTCAATTCCCAATGGTTCAGATATTTATCCTGATTGGTCAGGTATAATTTATATAGATGTTTTGCCACAAAGTTCTTTAGCAAGGATTTTATCAAAGCTAACACCAGTTATTCAAATAATGATGCCGTTTGTTTTAGCATTAGGTATATTTTTTATGATAATGCTCACTTTGTATACTGAAAGGCGACCAAAAATGCGTTTAGCTGCCAAAGGTTTGGTAGTTAAATAATAATTATAAAGCAACATAACATTGAATTTTATATTCACCTACAAAGTTGAAAAAGAACATTGAACGAATATGCCAAACTAATAAAAATGTTCATGTTTTAATATAGCTAATAATGTATTCAATTTGTTCACATTGCCAAATATCCTTTCTATTGCCACTAATACTTGTACTACATATACTACTCTCACATCTCTCTGTGCTGATGTGGTATGGTAAACTGACGTACAAATGTGCCAAATTCTACGTTACATCTGACTAAACGACAAACTGTAAGACCTTGATACTACAAACAGATTAAATATTATTAATAAACGACAGGACAACGGGTATATTTAGTTAAAACCAGCTAATCCCTTGTTTTTCTTCGTTTAGAACTTCTAAAATAATATAAAGCTGATTAAAAAAGTCAAAATAAGATTTCTAAAACTCGTTATTTCATTTTTGCTAGTTTTGCACCCTGACTACCTTAGGAAATATCTCTTTTCGTGTTTTACACTAGACACAGGCACCCATATTTACGTGAAACAGTGCACAGAAGATGTCTGATAGCTTATATACAGCTGAATTCAGGATAATCTAACAATCCCTCCAATATAATGTAACCCAATATTTTGTGTGGACCAACACCATCTTGAGTAAATATGAAAATCTTTATCGGGCTAGGTGTGAAATCTGCACTAGTGGTTAACAAAACTGTTTCGATGCCTGATCATACATTTTAATCTAGTTTATTCCAAGGTCAACGCCAATTGTCGAACAGGTCCTGAATTACTGATCTCTGGAGACCATTCAACCCCCCACGAGAATGTCACTTAAACTGAGAATATTTTAAAATACCATATTCCACAAACGCAAACATAATATTTCAGCTTTCAGTAAATATAAACACAAATGCTAATAATAATACAAAAGGAATGAGGTGTTGCAACAACATACTATATATACTATTGCGAAAGTTATTATTGTTACAACCACGGAACACAATCCACTTCATTATATACATTACGGAAAACTATGATAAGTACCAGTAATTGCATTTAGTTAAACCATATAGTACAAATATCATTTAACTGCTTGAGAGTCGGAAAAGCTTACTTTTCTAGCAAAAAACTTTAAAACCGGATTTCAATAGTCTATTTATTTATTTATATTTATTTGAACACATAAATATTGGTACAAGGGGGCACCAGATATACATGCGCTACACAATGACGATGAGAATGGGAAGAGAAAAAGAATGTAAGGTGAGTATGAGAGGGATTAAAGGAAAAAAGAGAACAATAACGACCACAGATTAGTGTATGGTAGTACAATAATAATAATAATGGGGGGAACCGGAGGGTTAAACCAGAGAGAATTCTTTCAGTTAAGAAAGTTACGGTCACTTTTTATGTAGAAAGTAAAAAAAGGTTACATCAGGATCGTCACTGGCTTTTATTCTGAGCCATATCTGATAACGTCTCCAGCCACTGCGTTACACCATCTCTGAAGTCGATGTTTCAAGATGGTGACACTGATTGGATTATCGTCTCTGCGCCCGAACACATGATGCCGAACCTCTGCATTACTAACATGGTGTTGCCACTGGATATCGACAATCCTTCGGAGACAACGATGATCAGACGCAGAGAGTCGTCTAACATCCTCAACTCAGTGAGACCAGGTTTCACAAGCATAGAGCGAAAATGCTCTCACCGACGCGTTGTAGATCCGGCCTTTTACAGTCAGACTGACATCATGAAGGCGCCAACGATGGCCCAGATTGGCATAAGCCGCTCTGACATTCACTATACGTGAATCGATTTCATCAATAGTGATACAAATTATAATTTTATCTTCATTAGTATGAATATTTCTGAAGGACAAGGACGTCATTCCATGTCGATGATTACAAGTTGCACCAGTCTGATTATTTGCGACGAATTCCTAACCATTTCTCAGTACTCGAGCGTCTCATTTCTTAAAACGTGAACCAGAAAGAGAAGGCAAGAAGTATGGAAGGAGTTTACTTTGAAGCTCAGTTTGTGTATCGGAATCGAGGGTATTTATTTGTAACCAAGAGCTTCTAGATCCTACAGTTGGACGTGCTGAAATTGATGGCGAATTCGACAACTGTCCATCCAAGATAGTAAGAATATTGTTCTTTTGTTCTAGAATCTTCATTTGAGTTTTTGAGTAGCACTGGTTACTCGGGGTTTTTTTCAGCGTCTTCTTGGTTTTTAAGAACTTTTACTAAGGGCTCCAAACACATCTATAGCTTTGTGGAAAAATATGGTTTTTGACTAACCAGTTTCCCCGAATATTACTCAGACCCGCACATGGAGAAAACCAATTAAATTGTAAAGGTGAATTTAAGCATATGTAATTGCTACCCAGCAATAGATGATTTAAAGAAATTTATAATACTGCCATTATTTATCAACTTAACACAAATTAAAATACTACGAAAAATAGAAAAACAGAACTTGTGTTTCAAAAGTTATTTATTTCCACGAGTGATCATTAGTTAATTTTAATAGTTTATGAACACTAAACCGGTTCGAGAATAATTTTGGTCGTAGACCGATTATTTTTTTATATCTATCGACGACCAGGAAGCATTTAATTTTTTATATAATGGTTTAATACCGAAATTCCAGTTAATTCAACGGTTCATTACCTGACGTCAGTCCAAAATAAATCTTCAGTTTGACCATTATATCAGTTGAATATTCTGGAACAATAACCAAACTAATTGAGTTGGAAAAAGAAACTAGTCACACATGCTCTAAAAGATGTTAAGTTTATCAATAAGTATAAAGGCTAAAAATCCTAGAGTTTTAGAATGAATTATAAAAGACTTCAGTCGTCAATGTGTAGACTAGTTATCTTCACATTGACCAACATACTATGATTAGGTAAACTAAAGAGATTCTCTACATAACATGCATAAAAGAAATCCGGTTGAATACGAGCTACCGGAAGAGAATTGTTTTCTTCATTTTATTTTCTATTCTCATTCATTTGCAGTATGTATTATCTTCAAATTTTTCCGATGAAATAATAAGAAACAAATTTATACATAGCGTGGAAATAAAAATATAATAATTCTTATTTACATTGTCCACATTTTGGAAAAAAGCTTTAACAATTATCATAATATGAGAAAATGATATGTAGTTGTCAACTGTACATGTATAATAAGTAATCAATTGATAAGCTAAAATTCTGCATCTTCATAATACTTTTGTATATCTCGCATTGCTTCAAGCGCAGTTGCATGTTTATTTTCAGTTTCTGTATCCATTGACAAACCGAATACACATACTATTAAGCAAAAGAAAAAAAGCACTGGTTGAAACAAAATCTCGTATGTCAAGTACATTTCTTTTTATATCAAACAAACTGCTTGTCGGAGCAGCTAAAACTAAACAGATTTTTGAACTACTTATTTCTAGTTTTACTTGATAGTTTACATATACACATCACAGCAAATAAATCGGATGAACAAAATTGTTATTTGTACTTATAAACATACCAAACATAGTGAAACTTAAAGGATAGTAGGTTTTCAACAGTGGAATCGCATGTCATTTCCTCGGTAGTGGTTACGGTTTCTATATTTCAAATATTTTCAAAATAAGTAATATCTAAACAACTTCAAATATTTGCACTATATTGAAAATTATCTCTATAAAAAGGTTTAAATTCAATTTATAAGTTTGGAAACAGATTGCTTTCAATCTTGCTCAGCTATAATTTACCTCGGTTTTAAAAGTCAGTAAGTGATTTCTATTGGTTTAAAAGCGGACAATGGCGCTCAGTCACTTGACATTTATTATGTCGGATTTTCCATTTCATGTACATAAAATGGTAGTTGAACTGGTACCAAGTATTTCATTTGCCATGCTGAAGTGTATATTACTGTCATGTCTAACAAAAAAGGTCAGTGATTAAATGAACCAACGGTAAACCCTGATCTTACCAAACGTTTCCCAATTACTTATATGTAAGCAAACGTAGGTAATGACTGTGCATGTGCTACATATTTTTCGCTTATCACTGTCAATAAGCATTTATAGTCCAATTGGTCAATTAACCATCTCTAACTTTAATTATGTATATAATCTCTTTATTACTGTGTTGTAGCTTTCATTATTCATTAACAGAACTTCGAAAACGCATATATATTTGAACTAAACTTTTGGTTAGTGTTTTTTAGCGAGTTAGTTTTCTACGGGATGGAGTCGCTAACCCCATGCCAAACCCTACTCTCTTGCCCGGGCTTGGGGCTGGCAGTATTCCCAGAGGGGCTCCAGGCGGAGTTTTAAACTAAATTACTAACTGGTAATGAGAATCGGTCAATAAAATGGCTTCTCGTATACTATCAACTAGATTTCGTCGGTAACATTTTACAGTGAGCTATATTATTTGATCAAATAGTAATTAATATTTATCTTCTAGTCATCTACATACTGACGAATGCTTTAAGATAAATTAGTAAACCGATATGTAATCGAGATCCAATTCAACTTAAGGGTATTTACTAGTAAGAAAACACTTCTCGGTCCAACTAAAATACTGAGATTATGATTGTGAATATAGGTGTTAACACTGATACAATCCTCAGAAGATCAACATAAGGCATAATTTTTTATCTGCATAAATGATAATATAATGATAGTTAGACATCAAAATTTTCAAGTGTTATAAAAAAACTCATGTAATAAAAACTGTTGTTTTGAATAAAAAGAAATAAGGATAATTATGTATATCCTTGAATTCTAGTGAGAAGCAGTGACCAGTGGAATTCAAACGTGTCTGTTGTGAGATAGTAACTCACTGACGACAATGGTGGATGTGTCGCTCAATTTTGTGGATTAGTTGAAGTTAGACATTAACACCGTTGGATGCCGGCCGGCTCAGTGGTTTAGAGGTTAATCGTTCTCGTGCAAGACTGATAGGTCCTGAGTTCAAATCTCACGGGGTGGGATCGTAGATACGCACTACTGAGGAGTCCCACACTAAGATGAAACGGCCGTCCAGTGCTTCCAGGTTTTCCATCATGGTCTAGCTTCAATTGACTCATGATCTCAACTATTGAAATTACTTAAATCTTCACAAAAACTCCTTCTAATTATGAAATTATTATATATTATCAACTTACATGTTTTAGTTAATTCAACAAATAAACTTTTTTTACCAGATTTAGCTGATAACATTTCATTGTTTGCATCAATAACAACAAAACGATCATTTAAAAAATCAATATTTAGTTTTTGTGTGCCAATTTTTGCCATAACCAAACGTATAGCACGAACTTGATTTGTACTCAAATTAGTTATACTCTAATATATAAAATAATAATAATAGTAATAACGAGGATATCAACTAAAGTGAATCGGTCAAGTTTATCGAAAGTTAATAACTATTTTTAAATTTCGACAGAAATAAAGTTACACTGATAATGAAGAAAATAGAATGTTAACAAAATATTATATGAAATATTCCTATAATAAATATTTACATTTTCAACTATATTTAAGTGAAGAAATTTGATATACGAAATCTTTAAAAGGGGTTTCTTTATGTGGATATTATAGTAATTTCAATAGTTAAGATCATGAACTAATTGAAACTAAATCATCATGGAAAACCTGGGAGCATTGAGTTTGAATCTCGCGAGGCGAGGTCGTAGATGTGCACTGTCGAGGAGTCCCACAATAGGACGAAACGGTTGTTCAGTTTTTTCATGGTGGTCTAGCTTTAAATGACTTATGATTTCAACTATTGAAACATACTAAATTATTTATTTTATTTGGTAAGTTTGACATTTCTTAAATTTCTTTTACAAATATTTCACTCTTAAAAAGCAGGGTTAAGAGAAATCTAATTGGGGAGTTGAGAAGTTTAAGCTAATGAGCAGTTTAGGCTTTGTCTCATAGAGTATACCTATTAGAACAGATCAGAGTTCATCAAAATTCTAGTTATCCAACCAAGGAACATTCGAGTATATTTTGTGAATAAAATGAAGTATATTGTTTCAACTAAAGTATAAATATTCTATAGATTTTCTTCTACTCTATATCTTATATGTTGTGTATAGCAGTTGTACCAGTCAACTTGGAATGCTAATTAATCTTGTATTAATTTGACGAATAAAACAATTCTTTGTTTAGAATTATATAGAAGAATTGATTGTCAAACGGTAACCAGTTGTATGCTCTAGTTATTAGTATCCATTAACGTTAAACAAAAGACTTGATAATGCATTAAACTATAACCGTTTCTCAAACTCTGTCCATACAGGTCTTTCTGTGTACTGTTAGCGGCATTTATTGTTCATTACTTTTAAAATTAACTAGAAGTTAGCATTATCTCTTGGGATCCAAGCTTAAATGTTTGAATTCAATCAGTATTTAAACAGAAACCTACTAATAGAGTAAACCACATCATTTTTTAGATTACTGACAGATAAATTAGACCATTTAGTAATCCACATCCAATACTTGTCTAACAGATGTCAGATTAGCACCATACGAAACAAATTTAAATGGTATAGTTGTTTATTGGAGATTTTGTACATCTAGAAAACGATTTCATCTTCGTGAACTGATATCACCTAAAAAACTGATGAAGATCACCCAGTGATGAACGTTTTACTATTTATCTTTGTTTGTGATTACTCAAAAAGCAACACTTATTACATCATATACAATTAAGTTCAATGCCTGTGTGTTGTCATTAACTCGGTACTATTGATTTACGAAACTGTGATCTAGTGAAACACACGTTAGATCTCAATAAATTTGAAAAGAGCACAATGCTCATTCAATATTTGTTGGACCTATCTGTGTATAAATTATGAAACGAGGTGGATTCAGTATAATAAACCAAAACACTCAACTCGATAATGAAACTTAAGGATTGTAAAAGTGTACAATATGAATGCATATATTAAGTTTAATTGATGATAGATAATTCCACATTATTATTTATAGGTCAATCGTATAATTAGTTGTTTCAGGAATCGTTTTACCTATAGGTTTTCGAAATCTGTTGTTCAGAAAACATCGGGGAGACTTTAGATAGTTCCATATTTTTCACTAAAGACCTGTGCAATATATAAAGTCTTGTGTTATATATCTGAGTATCCATTAGTCGCCATCCTTATTTGCGTTTTTACTTAAGACCAATATTAGTGATACACACTGTAGATCAATTGGCCCTGTACACGAAAACAGATAGCTTACAACATGGACATAATGAATACTCTTCTTTATTTGACAAGAAATATAGAAAGAAAATTGATCATGGAATTGACACAGTAACATCCGCTTGTCGATAATGATAACTCAGAAGATTGAATTCTATGGAAGCGCCTAGCTAAACAGCCGTGATGCGCATGAAATCGAGGTTCAAATCAACTATTTATATGAAGAAGGGTTCCGTTATTACAATTTGTGTGTAAATTAGATAATAACCCGGAATCTGAAAGTATCTATAGTGACTGACGCTTATGCATGAATAGAAAGAAAAAGGCTTTGACAGATTAAGTAACAGATAGATGGTGCGTCTAAAGTAAGTAACGGCTATCAATAATCAGAGACGAAGGACAAAACATACGAAAACTGTCACGTTTAAATAAAAATTCAGGGAATTCACGAAAACCTGAGGTGTAAATACAATAGCAAATAAAGTGAATGTTGTCTGTTTATTTAAATACTTCGGAATATCACAGAATAAACATTATTATGTACCATATGCTTAGAAATTATGATTACTGAATATTACTGAATATTTACAAGTAGTATAAAATAATTGACACAAAATAGATTGAGCAGGGAAAGAGTGAATATAGAGCATGCAAACAAACTTTACATGCAGTTTCTTTGAATCATGTTTTATGTATTAGCAAAATACCCATCTCCAGTTATAACTAAGAAATCTCCATTTGTTCGATGTTGTTATCAAGGTGAACATATATATAATAACTACTAAATAACAAGGAATTCAATAAGAAGAAACAATGAAACATAACTTAACGCTATAACACCACCTTTTTAACCAAATAAATCATTTTAATAAATAATATTGCAATTATTGATGATAATGTATTTTTTTCGAAAAAGATACTATGCATTAAGATCAGTCGAACTAACCGCGAATTCCGGGATTTTAAATGCACTTCCTAGTACACGACTTCCATGATCGCAAACGCAAAGAGCATCTAGTTTTGAATGAACTTCAAGTAGTGCTCGACACTGTTCACTCCAAGCACTATATGGTACATGCACGGTCATATCTATTATTTCCTGAGAATGAAAAATAGATGATAAAATAACAGTAATATAGCGTAATAAACGATATCAATATTTTTCACAAACCAAGCAGCATATTCCGGTGGACATAAGAATAAGGGATTATTTAGGTGGCTTTTTCGACTAGTTGGTTTCCACAGTTTGGTCGACTAGTTCTGTATGTCAACAGACAGACTTCATTTCTTGTACTCGTGCTAAGCACTTGAGAAGTTTAGTTCATATCAATGCCAAAGGATTCTATTTTACGCAGATACGCAGCCATATAGTCGATAGAATTTAAATCGATCTATTTTTATGGACCATCAGATGAGACTAGTTTAAAAAAACTTTGAGCAATCTAATTGTAATATGTGTATCATGCATAAAAGTGATTATTTCTTCCGATCATAACTAACGATAAATGTAATTGTTAATTCTTTGAAAAATAAAACTGAATAGATTTGTTATAACTGCAAATTAAACCAGAAAAAAAAACGGAGATTCACATGATGGATAGAAGATAAAAGGCGATGTAAGACGAAATTTGTATACATCCACCAAAAACAATAATACAATCGTCTTGGTAAAACATATTCATTTACACACAAATCTTACTACTATTAAATAATTATTCCATGCATACTTACTTACTTGCACCTGTTATTCCCAATAAAGCATAGAACACAGACCACCAATCTCAAACCCACTCTGTCCTACTCATTCCTTTCCAGTTCTGTCCAATTGTTATTCATTCTTCTCATCTATGTCTTTATTTCTCGACGTAATGTGTTCTTTGGTATTCCTCTTCCCCTTTATTTAGTCTTGAGGATTACATGTGAAGGCTTGTCTTGTGATGTAGTTCGGTGCGATCCTCAATGTGTGTCCTATCCACTTCCAGTGATTCTTCCCGATTTCTTCCTCCACTGGAATCTGGTTTGTTCTCTCCCATAGTAGGATGTTGCTGATAGTGTCTGGCCAGCGCATTTGAAGTATTTCGTGTAGACAATTGTTAATAAACACTTGTATCTTCTGGATGATGACTCGTAGTTCTCCAAATTTCCACCACATACAGTAGAACTGTTTTGACATTTGTATTGAAAATTCTGAACTTGGTATTGGTGGGTTGACATAGAGTTGTTTTGAGTTGCAGATTTTCTTCAATTGTAAATGTGCTGCTCTTGCTTTGCCGATCCGCGCTTTCACATCTGCATCAGATCCACCCTGTTCATCAATGATGCTGCTCAGATATGTCAATGCTTTTACATCTTCCAAATCTTCTCCATCAAGTGTGATTCAGTTGTTGCATTCTGTGTTGTATCGGCGAATTTCGCTTTTCCCTTTGCGCATATTGAGACCCACTGCTGCTGAGGCTTCTGCTACACTGGTGGTCTTCTCCTGCATTTGTTGTTTCGTGTGCGATAGAAGATCCGGATCATTTGCGAATTCTAGATCGTCCAGCCGCATCCTAGCTGTTCATTGTATCCCATGCTTTCCCTCAGGGTGTTGAGGTCTTCATGATCCAGTCGATTACCAAGAGAGCTAGAAAGAGTGAGAGTAAGCAACCTTGCTTGACAACAGTCTTTACTTCGAACGAGTTTGTCAGCTGTCCTCATCATTTGTTCCTACTACTTAAATTATGCATATCATACATAATTTAAGTAGTAGGAACAAATGATGAATATTATGCTTAATCAATCAATAATCTCTAGCTTGATCCCATCCTTATACAATTTATAAATCGTGGCAAAGCTTGATAATCTAGTTCATTGTTAAGCTTTGCTGATTATTTTGTAAATGTGTTGTACAGTTGATTTTCATTGTAAGATATCAAACACTAGAGTGTAAAGTGTGAATGCTAATATCAGGTTATGTTCATGATAAAAATTTGAGTCATAGTCAACCTGATCATTAGTTTTCATAGTAATTTCAAAGGTAATTCATCAAATAAATCTAAGTAATACAGAACATAAATGGATTTTATCATTCTCTTTATCAGTTATAAGTAGCCTAAATATTCAATTCATAATATGGTTCAAACCAAATAATCAACATTATTCTTATGAATGAAGTTTGACAAAAATTCGTAATCAAACACCTAATCAGATTGATAAGACATATCACCTACACATATAAAACAACATTATGCATTATAGAGGAAGAATGTATTTATAAAATCTCAGTGAAAGAATTTGAAGTAAATCCAACGTTTCATCTGGCAATCTGGTCCAAGCTTTTTCAAGGAAATATATCTTTAATGTCTCACATTAACTCGGTGCCCAAATACTGTGAAACTATTATGTATTATAGTTGAAACTAATATATAGTGCTTCACTCACTTTTATACATAGAATTCATTCTTTTCTAATCATGTAGTGAAATTATGTAATTATTACTTTTTTTGATAATCACTATTCATCTTATCTGCCTTACTTTACGTGGTTAGATTTTGTATTCTTATGTAATAATCCTCCATAATTTTGTCTCATTTTGAATTTCTGTCTTAACTTTCTTAAATAAAGTATATCAGTGTATTTAGTATCTGGGAAGAACTGAAATCCAGGACTTGTGTTTCATTCTAGTTAGTACTTGTCAATTGGATGACATGAATCCCAGTGTTGATATTTATACCAATACTTAAACTCAGCCTCTGTCACTTTAAACGTCAACTCATTATTCACTAAACTGAAGAATCCAGTTAGCCATTACCATGTTCAACGTGTATGAAGGTATCCATAAAGGTTTTGTAATTTTAACCATTCCCCTTTCATCCCGTGAGTTGTTGTAGCTGTAAATTATTTGAAGATAAACAAGAATGAATTATACTTAGGCCACTTCTGGTCTGAGCCATGTTGATAGATGAAGACTACTTGGTTGGGGTCCGAGTGACTATCGTAGCCAATGGTCGGAGACTCTTGGTGACATGGTTTAGAATCGACCACATTGACGTAAGTGTATACAATCTCTGTCTTCCCTTAAACTACGACATTAAAATCGCTTCATATCTTTCTTTCTACGTACTAATTCTTTCTTTCTGTACTATATCCTTATATACAATCTTTCTTTTATATATTGCCACCATTGACTTAACTACTCCTATGAATCCGGTGTTCATCTTGCTGTGTTAATGAGGTATGGCAACTTGGACCGATGCATGGATGTGCTTGTTCCTACGTTGTATCTGATTGAATGACTGATTATTATACTCTATAAATCTTGTTGCTGATTTCCCTCTGTTAAAAATAATCAAAGAAATTAAGTGTATAACAGTGTAAGTTTCAGAAAAAATGTAGAATACAAATACTAAATAATCACCATAGAATACTACATATTGATCGAATAGTGGAGAGGAAATCTATAGATTTCTACCTAGGAAAACGCTGAGTATACATTGATCGAGCTCAAAAGAAAAAGGTTTTTCCAAGAAGCTGAAAACCAACAAAAGTAAGAGTTATTTGATTTTCAAACTATGATCAGTAGCTTATTTAAATAGGATCGGCAAAGCAAGAGCAGCACATTTACAATTGAAGAAAATCTGGAACTCAAAACAACTCTATGTCAACCCACCAATACCAAGTTCAGAATTTTCAATACAAATGTCAAAACAGTTCTACTGTATGTGGTGGAAATTTGGAGAACTACGAGTCATCATCCAGAAGATACAAGTGTTTATTAACAATTGTCTACACGAAATACTTCAAATGCGCTGGCCAGACACTATCAGCAACATCCTACTATGGGAGAGAACAAACCAGATTCCAGTGGAGGAAGAAATCGGGAAGAATCACTGGAAGTGGATAGGACACACATTGAGGATCGCACCGAACTACATCACAAGACAAGCCTTCACATGTAATCCTCAAGACTAAATAAAGGGGAAGAGGAATACCAAAGAACACATTACGTCGAGAAATATGCTGCTCTTGCTTTGCCGATCCTATTTAAATAAGCTACTGATCATAGTTTGAAAATCAAATAACTCTTACTTTTGTTGGTTTTTAGCTTCTTGGAAAAACCTTTTTCTTTTGAGCTCGATCAATGTATACTCAGCGTTTTCCTAGGTAGAAATCTATAGATTTCCTCTCCACTATTCCATCAATATGTAGTATTCTATGGTGATTATTTAATATTTGTATTCTACATTTTTTCTGAAACTTACACTGTTATACACTTAATTTCTTTGATTATTTTTAACAGAGGGAAATCAGCAACAAGATTTATAGAGTATAATAATCAGTCATTCAATCAGATACAACGTAGGAACAAGCACATCCATGCATCGATCCAAGTCGCCATACCTCATTAACACAGGAAGATGAACACCGGATTCATAGGAGTAGTTAAGTCAATGGTGGTAATATATAAAAGAAAGATTGTATATAAGGATATAGTACAGAAAGAAAGAATTAGTACGTAGAAAGAAAGATATGAAGCGATTTTAATGTCGTAGTTTAAGGGAAGACAGAGATTGTATACACTTACGTCAATGTGATCGATTCTAAACCATGTCACCAAGAGTCTCCGACCATTGGCTACGATAGTCACTCGGACCCCAACCAAGTAGTCTTCATCTATCAACATGGCTCAGACCAGAAGTGGCCTAAGTATAATTCATTCTTGTTTATCTTCAAATAATTTACAGCTACAACTCACGGGATGAAAGGGGAATGGTTAAAATTACAAAACCTTTATGGATACCTTCATACACGTTGAACATGGTAATGGCTAACTGGATTCTTCAGTTTAGTGAATAATGAGTTGACGTTTAAAGTGACAGAGGCTGAGTTTAAGTATTGGTATAAATATCAACACTGGGATTCATGTCATCCAATTGACAAGTACTAACTAGAATGAAACACAAGTCCTGGATTTCAGTTCTTCCCAGATACTAAATACACTGATATACTTTATTTAAGAAAGTTAAGACAGAAATTCAAAATGAGACAAAATTATGGAGGATTATTACATAAGAATACAAAATCTAACCACGTAAAGTAAGGCAGATAAGATGAATAGTGATTATCAAAAAAAGTAATAATTACATAATTTCACTACATGATTAGAAAAGAATGAATTCTATGTATAAAAGTGAGTGAAGCACTATATATTAGTTTCAACTATAATACATAATAGTTTCACAGTATTTGGGCACCGAGTTAATGTGAGACATTAAAGATATATTTCCTTGAAAAAGCTTGGACCAGATTGCCAGATGAAACGTTGGATTTACTTCAAATTCTTTCACTGAGATTTTATAAATACATTCTTCCTCTATAATGCATAATGTTGTTTTATATGTGTAGGTGATATGTCTTATCAATCTGATTAGGTGTTTGATTACGAATTTTTGTCAAACTTCATTCATAAGAATAATGTTGATTATTTGGTTTGAACCATATTATGAATTGAATATTTAGGCTACTTATAACTGATAAAGAGAATGATAAAATCCATTTATGTTCTGTATTACTTAGATTTATTTGATGAATTACCTTTGAAATTACTATGAAAACCAATGATCAGGTTGACTATGACTCAAATTTTTATCATGAACATAACCTGATATTAGTATTCACACTTTACACTCTAGTGTTTGATATCTTACAATGAAAATCAACTGTACAACACATTTACAAAATAATCAGCAAAGCTTAACAATAAACTAGATTATCAAGCTTTGCCACGATTTATAAATTGTATAAGGATGGGATCAAGCTAGAGATTATTGATTGATTAAGCATAATATTCATCATTTGTTCCTACTACTTAAATTATGTATGATATGCATAATTTAAGTAGTAGGAACAAATGATGAGGACAGCTGACAAACTCGTTCGAAGTAAAGACTGTTGTCAAGCAAGGTTGCTTACTCTCACTCTTTCTAGCTCTCTTGGTAATCGACTGGATCATGAAGACCTCAACACCCTGAGGGAAAGCATGGGATACAATGAACAGCTAGGATGCGGCTGGACGATCTAGAATTCGCAAATGATCCGGATCTTCTATCGCACACGAAACAACAAATGCAGGAGAAGACCACCAGTGTAGCAGAAGCCTCAGCAGCAGTGGGTCTCAATATGCGCAAAGGGAAAAGCGAAATTCGCCGATACAACACAGAATGCAACAACTGAATCACACTTGATGGAGAAGATTTGGAAGATGTAAAAGCATTGACATATCTGAGCAGCATCATTGATGAACAGGGTGGATCTGATGCAGATGTGAAAGCGCGGATCGGCAAAGCAAGAGCAGCACATTTACAATTGAAGAAAATCTGGAACTCAAAACAACTCTATGTCAACCCACCAATACCAAGTTCAGAATTTTCAATACAAATGTCAAAACAGTTCTACTGTATGTGGTGGAAATCTGGAGAACTACGAAAGTCATCATCCAGAAGATACAAGTGTTTATTAACAATTGTCTACACGAAATACTTCAAATGCGCTGGCCAGACACTATCAGCAACATCCTACTATGGGAGAGAACAAACCAGATTCCAGTGGAGGAAGAAATCGGGAAGAATCACTGGAAGTGGATAGGATACACATTGAGGATCGCACCGAACTACATCACAAGACAAGCCTTCACATGTAATCCTCAAGACTAAATAAAGGGGAAGAGGAATACCAAAGAACACATTACGTCGAGAAATGGAGACATAGATGAGAAGAATGAATAACAATTGGACAGAACTGGAAAGGAATGAGTAGGACAGAGTGGGTTTGAGATTGGTGGTCTATGGCCTATGATTTATTGAGAATAACAGGCGTAGGTAAGTAAATAAGTAAGTTATTTAAATAGGTGGCTGAATTGTTGACCGAAATTTCAATTTACAATATAAAGTGGTTATTAATTAATACAATCTATATTCATAACTGGCTTTATGTTGCTAATTTCTATCATATTGAAAAACAAATGAAACTTTATGAATTCACAATAGACATTAGACTGAAAAAACATTTTATTATTATGGATAAGATTTGTTGTTTGCATCAAGCAATGGATGAATTCACACAGCTTTTCTACTGATGCATATCATGATCAAAGTATGATTAGAAAAACAATCACACGCTTAGATAAACCAGCTTCATAGTAATATATAAGTGAAATGTTTTAACTTTACAAAAAAAAAACAATCGTCTAAAGATTGAGTTATACTATTAGGGACCATTAAATGATACAGTAAAATTATATCAACTCAGAAATTTCTAATTTGTTATACAAATAGTTTTCATGTAAACTAAATATAGAATAAATAGATAGAAGTTCACTTGGTATTATTTTACTTGAATCTTCCCATTGATGTTTAGGTCTGCAACTGATCAGTCATTTGTTAGCACATGTGCATCCTGTGAGGATTGCCTCGTTAGTGCCTTAATTCACAAGCATTATAAACAAAAACGGATAGT